TCAGCTTAAAATCAAAAGGGAGCTAAAAAATCCAGTTTCTTCTTACAAAATAATAATTTCTTGGGGGCGTTTTTAATAAAACAATTATTCCACTCGCGCTTGTTGGATATGAGATGATTATAGCCAACTCGGCGCTACGCGCCTCGTTGGCTATCTATCATCTCATATCCAACGCGCGCTCGTGGAATAATTGTTAATTACAATATGATTACTCAGGTGATAACGGAGGTTGGTGCACTTTGATTAGTTTAGAGTAACATTATGTCTAGCCAGACAAGTAATCACCCAGTGTGAGGTGATCAAAAAATTGATTTCTGGTAATTTTCAAAATTTCTATTGTGCTTACTCTTGATGATTGTAGAGAGGTTTTGGGTTAAGTGAAAGGAAATGTAGCTGTTGTAATAATCACCTGATCAATTATACCAAAAAGAAATTTCCTCCTCCGGCTCAGTAAACATTGTCAAAAATTGCTAAAAGTATTTTTTGTTTGTAGGATGATTGCGAGTTGCCTTGGTGGACTTGTTTTCCATTCCTTTGGTTACTACCTTATACTCTTATGGATGAGTATCAGCATTGGATTTTTCATGGTATACATGTAGTTGTATCCCTTGTTATACATGTAGTTCATTTAACTATGTTCAGTTAACTTTTCTGGGTGGTCAACTTTTTCTTATGTTATTTTTGAGTGACTCTGGAACTTGTCTGCATTCTGTAGTGCTGGCATATTCGAAGAAGTTAAATACCCAGCTTTTCACCAAATGTGTGGCTGTCATGTTGTATATTTATAGCTATTACAGAGATTTAGCACCGCGTATAATTATGTGAAACGGCAAATGTCAGCTTTCCTTTTCGCTCTTGGCTGGAAACCGCTTGAAAACTTACATTTTGATCGCTATTTATCTGTATTTCAGGTGCGCACCCTGAGGTTAATCATTGTACCGGAATCTGCACCTGATGGGATTGCCAGAGCAAGCAAACGAAGAATATACCTCCTGTTATTTATTGCCGTGTTACAGCCTTTGTTCATGTATTTCTTGACAAGTCATTTGAGACCAGTTGTTTCCGAGTCCCTAAATGGCCCTAAAGCCAACTTGTGAAAATGCTATATAGATATTTGTTTAATATCTAAAATACTCTGTTCCTTCTGCTTCATATCCCAAAGAAAATGTTCTTTGAAATTCTAGTTAGAGTAGAAAAGAGGATTCAGCTTCTGTGTATATTGGTTTTTGAGGATCTTCAGAGCTCAATGAGGAATAAAACAAAAACACGGTCAAATGAAATCAAGCAGTCTTTGACAAAACCGAGAATATAACTGATTACAGTTTATTTGAGGGGTTTTTTACCAATGCTGCTTTCTTTCACATATTTTGAACTGCAGATTTACTTGACGCTCTCAGAAATTATCCAAAATATGTTGCGAGCGAGACAATTGCTGACCACGTGACTTGTCTCGCGTCTGTAATCGCTTATTTATGTCACCTCTCGCTAGTGCTTTCTTGCGCATTTTTTGATCAATAATTTTATACCAAGTAGATGTTTTGCCCCGGACATGTCGTACGAAATTGAGAAGTTGAACGAATGCTTTCCTTTAATGGGTCTAGAATAGCGACAACTTTAAAAGAAAAAGCAGCTTTCTTACATTATGTTCGAAAGTTCTGCATCGTTCGAGACAATTTGGTGGCAGATGCTAGGGAAAGCGAGCAATGCGCAAAATGTACGTCAAGTTAAAGGTAGATCTCGAGGTCTCATTAGGGCTCTAATTACCCCTTAAAAGATGAGAAGGTTTATTGAATAAAACAATTCTTGATAGTGGATGAAAGTTCTTGTCTCTATGTAAAGTATCACGTTTGTATCTAAGAGAGGATTTCGTACCCGGGCTCCGCAAAGTTTCAAATGACTCTGCAAAGTTACATGAATGAATGCCTTAATTAGAAACAAAATATTGTAAGGGTCATTTTCTTTGGCGCCAGCCATATTATGACTGACTCAAACAAACAAACAAACAATCAGACGAAAGCAAAGTTAAAAATATATTCATATATATAAAAAAGATCGAAGTACCGGGATTTTACCTGTTGATGTTGATTTTCTTATTGAGAAACTCTGAACCTGTCAAATTGATAAATTAAAAAAGTCTAAATCAAAAGCGCGATATCCAACGAGGTAGCTATGGTTAAACATCATTTAACATGTTGAGAAAATAAAAGTTTATTTTCAACTCATCGCAGGGTTTTTCAGTTAAGATAGAGCGATTAGAGATGGTTTTAAAAAATGTGACCGGAGCTAATCGAGGGGTCCAAAAAATACTAGACATCACATGGCAATAAAAGCCACAGACATGACAACTATAACTGCTGCAAAAGCGAGAGTGACTCCAACGATTTCAGCCACACGTCCCTTTTCAAAGGCTTGGTGTTTTGCTTCTATTTGAGCAGCATTTGCAGTGGAATTGACCGGTTTCTGTACCTCGTCTGAGCCGGGATCTGGAGTCATTTGTCTCAAGAGTTTATCCTCCACTGTAGGGCCTAAGTAATTTGCAAAAGAATTGTGCAAACAGTACGTGGGTGTGGTTCGCTTAGGATAAATACAATTGCGGTTGTTTTCACTGGAAGTCTACTATTAGCCAGGTAAAATTCCTTCTGTTCTAAGTAGAGATATAGGAGCACTTCAAGTGAGAAATATTCTTATCTGTTGGGATTTACTGACTATAGTCAAATTAAACGGAAATCGCTCGAAATTATGAATCTGTCTCCTGCCATATGACTTGACGCTCATGTCGATCACTTTTTGTCACGTAACGCAATTCTGTAACTGAGAGGGCTAAACCCCGTCACACAATTTTCGATGTATTTTTTTTTTAAAGATAATAACGAAAATAGACCACTCATTGCCTTAAATGTTAGCAGAGAGGTATATTTTTTCTAGTTGGTATTTGTAGTGCGAACAATGGAAACCCTACACTTTGACTCATGCCTGGGGTTGTTAATACTAAAAAAAAAAAGGATTTGCTATAGAGAGACAGTTACGGCTCATTTCAGTAAGGCGCACGTTTATATACACTCTTGAAAAGTAGCTTCAACAACATTTATATCATACCCTTACTGCATAAGAACTCCTTGGAAATAGTAATCAGTGTTCTTCCTTGCAAACTGGACGGCGAGATGCATTTGATATCTTGGACATGTCTAACAAGAGGGAAGTGATTTTTTGAGCCAAGAAGGCGCTCTCGAAGCCATTCCATGTTGCAGTCGCAGTGGAAAGGGTTTCCTCCGATAGACCTGAAAACACGTGAGAGCTAAAATAAATCAGTTTTTCGAAATTATCATCATGTCAGGATCACATCAGTGGCAGATCCAGGGGAGGGTCCAGGGGGTCTGGACCCCCCCCCCTATCAGACCTGACGCTTACAATTTTGAGACTGAAATTCTTACATCGTCAGGATCGCAGATCACTTTTTAACTGGCTGATTTTTTTTTTAATGAATCCAAGTAGACGGTAAGCGGCCAAGGAATTATGACGTGCAACTGCGACTGATGGGAGTGCGTGTGGGGGGTGTGGGCGAGAAGTAATTTGCCTCAAAAGAGTCCAACAGTCCTTTCTGAACCTAAGTTTGGACCCCCAGAATCAAAAATTCCTGGATCCGCCTCTATACATATAGCCGCCTGTCTCTTGTCGCCGCTGCCAGACCTTTAAGAGAAAACGAGGGTTAATTTTGCAGTGATGCTAGTCGTTTATACTCCAGTTCGAGTGATACGCGAATATGGATGACGAAAGATAAATGAAATTTTGTGAGCTGCTGGCGCGTACTCTAAAGGACCGGTCATTTATTAGAGAGGGGAGGGGTGGGCTGGTGCATTTTAATTTTCAAATACATAATTTCCCGTAGGCCTGTTCTTGCCACTGCATCACATAATATGGCCTCCCTTCGAGTCTGTACATGAAATAAGATGACCCGCCCTCAACAACAGAAACAGTTTTGATACAACTTAAATAAAACTCATCGATCTATTTAAACCAGATAGCGAAAATAAGAGAAAGGCACAGAAGAGAAAAGCTGGACGAGAAGACGAAAATTTTGGTTTAACCTCCAAACTACTGTCTGACGGTGAGACTCCAGCTGAGGAAGTCAATGTGGCTGCTCTAATATGAAGTTGTTTTTTTTTTAAATATAAAAGGACTGCTATACACCATGTTATGTTGGTTTGTTATGCCATTATTTTGATGATAAATCGTATATGACTTGATGTTCATTCCTTCAGTGTTTGTTTTTTTTTTTTGTGGAAAGGAAATTGGAATGTACAAAAATACATA